CACATTACTGTGTGACAAATCTCTAGTTTTTCTTAGAAGGGTTTTATTGTTGCAATTAAAAACAGTAACAGTAAAATAAATAAATAAATAAAAGATTTTAGAAAACAGTTAATAGTGCATGTTACATTCTAGGTGCCTAAGTGCTTTATACATAATGTCATTTAAATTTCAAAACAACCTAATGAGAGTAGATATTTTTATTGTTTTTCTTGTAGAAATGAGAAAACAGGGAAAAGTTAAATACTTTACCCAAATTCACATAGCTGTAACTGGTAGAACCAGAATTCAGACGCAACCACCCTCATTCTAACATTTTTGCTGTTAGTCTCTTAATAATAGGCCATTTGGCAGTGGTGGTGTCTGGTGGAAAGCCAGCTACCTGTAATCCAGGTTGGAATGTTTTTCTTCTCAGTATCTGTTACACGTGACCCCTCCTTGATTCCCTTGTGGTAGACTGACAAGGAGAGGGTACTAGCAGGCTAGGGAGGGTGTAGGGGGAGGGGTGAGCTCCGGATGGCAACTTCCCTTGCCTTCACGGTCTTCTCAGGTCCAGCCTAGTTCTGCCTGAGGATGAAGAGCCCCCTGGCCTAGCTAGATGGATCCAATAATCCTTGGTTCAGGTGGAGGCTTGAGTCATAAGGTCACCTGGTGCTCTGGAAGCTTCCAAGTGGCTATTTCCCAAGAGAACTATAGCTTGAGGAAATGAGCTAGGACTTGACCCACTGCAGGCCACCCTGGGCACTTTTTCTGGGCACTGCCATAGTCCAGTTTGCTAAACACTATTGAATCTACTGGGTCCTGAAGACCTAGCACTTGAACTACAGCCAGGGAATCTTTATTGGTCTTGAATCCCACTCAGAAGACACTGCCCCTGGCTCTCAAGTTCCAGTGCCCAGGGCAGGGTGTGGCTCAGTAGTAGACCACTTACATGTCATGTTCAAGATGCTGGGTCTTCTCCCCAGAACCGGAAAAATAAAAATAAAAAAGTAACCATCTTCCCCTACAACAATGCTACCCATCTACACACTGTGCTCCCCGAATCAGCCAGAGCCCACTCCCCACCCTCCTGCTTCTCTGTGACAGAGTGGTCAGGGGGCAGGTGTACTTGGCTGTGCCCAAGCCAGTCACAAGTTTGGTGACCTCCTACCAAGTACTATGACCTCCTACCAAACACAGAGACCTGTATGTATGGCCCGCCCTCCAAACAGAAACAGAAACAGTAAGACAGAACCTCCTGCCCGCTGGGCTGCTGGGAAGGTTGTATGACCAAGGACATTACAGCAGAACTGACCACCAGATTCAAAACCTGGGCTCAGCTACTCGTTGCCTGTTTGATTTTAAGTGTGTTACTTCCCCTTAGTGAGCTGTAACATCCTTATTTGTGAATTGCACCTAATGAAAATACCCACTTCAATACCAAAGTATAGTACAACAACTCTTGATAATCTCCTACCTCTTTTGTCTGTAACTCACTATTATTTGTCTATTTGTTTTCCTGAGAAACTATTTTGTAGACAATAATATGTAAAATGATAACCATTGATAATTTCCTACCATTTTGTCTGTAATTTGCTAAGTCCCCCCTATTATTATGTTATCCTTCTTTTATTCTTTAAAATAAAAAATAAAAAATAAAAAATAAAAAAAAGAAAATACCCACTTCATAGAGCTGTTTGTAGAGAATAAGGCCAAGCATATAAAGAACTTAAGAGAATTACCTAGTGCTTCTCTAATACCTAGCTGGCTTTTACAGGGGCGAGTGTGGTTCATTTCAGTACCTTTAGAACAGTACCAAAGCCATATTAAGCATTTAATAAAGAGCTGTTTGTATTACCTATTTCTTGCCTATTTGAAGGGTATTTCTACAGGCCTGCATCCTAGAAGGAGAATTCCTCAATCAAGCACTATATACAGTTTAATTTGGATGAATAGTGACCAATTGCCTTTGTTACTAAGACACTCTCATCAGTCCTAAATAAGCGTGCACTTTCCTTATGATCTCACCAAAACTGAATCTTAACCTTTTATCTGTCAGGGCTGGAGATCAAACCCAGGGCCTGGAATATGCTAGCCATCACTCTACAACTAAGCCACATCACCAGCCTCTTAATTCTTAAAATTTGTGCCCATCTAATAGGTAACATTATTGTATTCTCTATTTCAGTGGTTAAATTATGCATCATATCAAGCTTAATATAAAAATTTTAAAGTATATAATTGATATACAATATGAAAAATAAAAATTACTCCATGTAATCCAAGAAGTTACCACTGTTAGTTACATTTGTACAAGAGAAGCTTTATCTCTACAAAGTCTTTTCTCTGAACATACAAATAAACATATCTGTACAATTTAAATAAATTTAATGAATTAAAGCTATAAGGCAGGCGTGGTGGTGTACACCTGCAATCCCAGCATTCTGGGATGCTGACCCATGAGGATCACAAGTTCAAGCCCAGCCTGGGCAACTCAGCAACTTAGTGAGACCCTGTCTGAAAATAAAAAATAAAAGGAGTGGGGATGGAGATCAATGTGAAGGATTTAGTCCCCAGTACTGTGTGTGTAAGTAAATAAATAAATCTATGTAGTTTAGTTAATTTAATATGTATTTTTTGGTTTTCCTCCCAACCAAATTTTTTGGAAATCCCTCCATGTTAGTATGGTATATACAGAACAACACATTATGGTTGCTTGATGTTTCAAATTATGGATGTTCCATAATATGTTTCACTATTTCCTTTTTTTAAAATTAGTGCATGTTTGCAGTGGAGTTGGTCCACGCACACAGCACATCTTAACTCCTTGTTCATCCCCTTTCTCTCCCCTCCATCCTCCTCCCTCCATCTCTTGATCCCCTTCCCATTTGACAAAGATCTGTCTCCCTACTTCCTATTACCTTTTACTTTGCTCTTTATTTATAATTTGGGTTTCTCATAAAAGACAAACCATGCAATGTTTAAGCTTGCATGTGCATCATTTCCTTATTGGTTGTTACCAGATTTCCACTATTACGAACAGTGTTGCAAAAATAATCTTATTCATATGCTTGTACACCTGTCTGTTTCCATAGAATGAATCACAAGAAGTGGATTTTCACTTGAAATGTTACTAAGTGTTGCTCTATTGCTTTCTGAAAATGTTCTCCTTTTTCCTTCTTTCTTTCTTTCTCTCTTTTTACTCTTTCTTTTTCTTTCTTCTTTTCCTTTAGTAGAGAAGATTGAACCCAGGGCCTCACACATGCTAGACAAGTGCTATACCACTAAGATATACCCCCAGTCCAGTGTTCTACAATTTTATACTCTTGCCAATAGAATATGAATAGCCTTTCCCCCACACTCCTTCTAACCTCAACTATTATTAATATTTTTATTTTTGAAAGGTATGCTTATTATTGGTTTAACAACCATTTCTTTAATTGGAAATGAGACTGATTACCTTTTTATGTCTGTTAGCCATTTATATTCCATTTTCATATGCTTGGAGTATTTCTGTGTTGTTTTTACTTTCGGGGGGTACCAGGAATTGAACTCGGGACCTCACTCCTGCCAGAAGGGCTGCATCACTGAGCTACACCCTCAGCCCGTTTTTACATTTTTTAACCGCAGAAACTTATTACTATTTTACAGTTCTGGAAGCCAGAAGTTTCAAACCAACGTGGCCACAGCTGGGCTGTCCCTCCTCTGAAGGTTCTGGGCAAGAACCTTTCCTTGCTGCTTCTTAGCTTTGGCAGTGCTGGTCCATCCTTGGCTCTGAGCTGCCTCCTCTCACCTCTGCTTCATGGTCTGTGGCCTTCTTCCTTGGGTGTTTTCTTCTTCCAACTGATTTGAGATCACTGAATATTAGGAACAGTCATTTCTTTTCAGGTTAAAGCTTTTTACACTCTGCTTTCTGAGCAGTTTTATAATAAGTGGAGAGAGGGAATCTGAGGCTCCTGTATTCTACAGAATTCATTTCCCATGGGGTACTTTTAGTGCCCATGTGACCATGAGGAGATTCTACATTTAGCTACATATGGTGAGAACCAAACAAATCCAGGGTGATCAGTGAGACTCTGTTTCCAGCATCCTCCTGACCCCATGCAGAACTGAGGACAAAATAGCCCTACCTCTCTAGATACCTGCCTTTCTGGAGCACTAGGAGAAAGATCTCTACCTCCTTTGCAGGCAGCCTCTGGGTGCCAAGGGAAAAAAGCAGGGGCCTGAGCTCCCCAGAGAAGGAAAGGATTTGTTTCTGCCTGTCCTAAGCCTTAGTAAAGAAATTATGATTCAGGATATGACTCCAGGGACCAAAGGTCCTTCCCAGGTCCAAATAGAAGAGCTTTTATTTTTCTTTGGCTATTTTATTTACAGTTTTGTAACATGTCCAAAATAGAAGCTTTATTAGGGGTTTTGATGGCTTAAATTGGGCCATTAACAAAGACTGATGTAATTCTTTCTTCCCAGGTGCTGTAACTGACAGGGAGCAAATCCTCTGTAGAAGAGACTACTGCATAAAAACCATTTTATGGTCCTTGTCTCAGCTCTTCTGGAGCCAGGCTTGGCAAGGGAAGAAGGGTGGAGGGAGGGTGCTGTGATGGAAAACTTTTTTTACCTGTGTCCTTGTAACCAAAGTGGCTGCTACCTCTTCTACACTGTATAGTTGGTTTTCACACCCACTTCTTTTCTTCCTGTACATCAGATGTGTAATGAGACAGAATTTCTGTCCTAGTCAGTCCCTCCCTCATTTAAACAGAAAATCAATCTTCAGGGACCTTCCTCTCTCACAGGCAGATTAAAGAGATTTAAGAGATTTATCAAAAGAGACAATAGAAGGGTCTGCATCCTCTTGAACTCTTGATTCAAACTGTTTTTTTGTTTTTTGGAGTTGGATTTTTTTTTTTTTGTCTTTTTGAGACAGGGTCTCACTCTGCAGTTCAGGCTGGCCTTGAGCTGACTTTGTAGCCCAGGCTGGTCTCCAACTTGAAACGATCCTCCTGCCTCAGCCTCCCAAGTGTTGGGATTACAGGTGTGCACCACCATACCCGGCTCTTGATTCAAACTGTAAAACAAAAATGTATGGAACATCAGGGGAAAATGAGCACTGATTTAATATCTAACAATAATAAAGATCATTAATTAGTTTAGGCATGATCGTGGTATTGTGCCTTACAAAGAATTCTTGCAGAGATAATAATAATATCAATGAAAGAAACAATGTCTAGGGTTGGCTTTTTAAAAAGTTTAGGGTGAAGGGAGGCTAAGAGGGATAAAGACAAGCTGCAACAAGATGGGTTATAAAGGTAGGTGATATTACCTAGGCATTCATTATACCATTCTCTCTACTTTTGTGTATTTTGAATTTTCCACAGATGCAGAGAGAGAGAGAGAGAGAAACAAAGAGAAACACAGAGAGAGAAAAAGCACTTCCTTCTCTATACATTTTTGTCTCTAAGAGGTGGAGGTAGGGCTAACGGTGTACCTCAGCTGTACAGCACGTGCTTAGCATGCAGAAGACCTTGGGTTCACCACCACCCCCAAAGAAAAGACAGAGGTAAAATAAGAAGGTAGCAGTTGCTTTTCTTTTCTTTCTCTCTCTCTGTCTCATTTTCTTTCCAGTACTCAGAATTGAACCCAGGGCTTTTGTACTGAGCTATATTCCCAGCCCTTTTTTTAAATTTTTAGTTTAAAACAGGGTCTCACTAAGTTGCTAAATTGCCCAAGCTGGGCTCAAACTT